TGACTGGTTAAAGAATAGGAACCAAAGTACAGGAAAAATGTCTCTGCTTTCACGGCACGAAGCAGAGGAGAAGGTGCCAGCTGATTCTTGCAGTCATCTGAGATGCTGAAATGGAAATGAGTTGAAGAAAAGTCTCAAGATGTGCCAGGTAATGCATATGGGGGAGCCACTCATGTGTGTATCTTCCCTCAGGGCTGTCCCCGCTCCTGGAGGAGACTGTAAAACGCTGGCAGAGAGTTTGGCGTCTGCCTGCAGGTTGTCCCAGAGGTGCATTCAGCAGTTCGGAAGGGGAGAAGGAACAGAGGAGAAACCCTCCTGCTGCTGTGTGGTACCTCTCTGGTACTGTGTGCTTTCCTACTGCCACCCCAAAGCTGATGGGGTTAGAAGAGGTGCAGAGAAGGACAAGGCAGATTGTCCGAGTGCTGGCCCAGCCCACCTGTGAGGAGAGGGTAATTTGTCACCTGTACCTTAGCTGACCAGGAGAGCTCTGCAGGGGAAGGATGTGATGGAGAATGGCAAAACAGTGAATGGCGCAGAGCAGGTGACAAGGAAATCCTCCTTCGTACTCTCACACCTTGAGAACTAGAAGCCACTTAGGAGGGCAGCACAACTGAAACAAAACTAGTGGGTTTTTCCCATATCCTACCAGTTTGTAGTACTGAATGCCAACTGAGTGCTTTGGTGCCCGTGGTTACAGGTGGGTTCATGCAGCTGTTAGGTACCATGGTCTGGATGCAGTCCTGCCACTGGAGCTCCCGAGCCGCAGTCAGCCTGGGCAGACGGGGAGGCCGAGCACGCTGCCTGCCCTGCCCTGCTCCTGCCTTCCTCGAGGTCAGAGCACTGGCCTAGAGCGGCCCTTGGCGCCAAGCGGAGCCCGCCTTTCCCACCTGCTGCAGCAAGCGTCCTGGGGCTACGATTTGCCAAGTTTAGGCTCCTGAAACTGGATATGTTTCTCCCCTGTGAAGGGATTCTGAACATGGTAGTGTGTCACTGCTGGCTGTTGCTGCAAACATGGTGGCCGGTAGCCCAGGCAAAGCTGTGGGTGACCTGGTGGCTTGTGGAGACGTGTGCCTTGGGCCACTCAGCCTGGAGGCTGCTGCTGCAGCAGAGCTCCCTGTGGTGCTGGGTCCCCATCAGTGACATGGGCCCTCCAGCTCCTCACCCTTTGGAAGCAGAGGTGGTGGTGCCCTGCAGCACAGCGGCAGCAGCTGATGCTCCAGCACTGGCTGCACGGGGACAGTGGGCTCGTGCCTGCCTCAAAGGACTGGCTGGGGGGGGGCCGTGCTGGGCTGCCGCAGGCAAGCTGCACGTGTGCTTTGAAGCCGTGCGGGAGCACAGATAACACTGGCACTGCTTTCTCAGGCTTTTCCTGTTGACGAGAAGCCAGGATAAACTGAACCTCATTAAGGGGAAGTAGGAAAAGCCCGTTCCCTGGCTCGCAGCAGTGTGCCGAGCTCTGACTGCAGATTTGTACTCGGCAGAACAGGCCTATGTGGATGGCAGGAACTTGCTGTGGACTTGTAGGAGGATGACATGGAGCCTTTTTCCCCTCAAGATAACCCATGCAGCCTTCGGTGCAGAAGGGTTTCTGGAGCTGGCAGTACCATGCCTGCAGTCAGTGTGGAGGAGCCTGATTTCCGTGCCCCTCTGTGCTTCTGCTGCCTGTGCAAACCCTGGCCATGAGGTGCTCGGTCCCGCAGGCTGGTGTTTGGTGGCCCTGTCATGGCAGGACCTGTGCCAGAGGCTTCTGGCTACTCCAGCTGGAGGCAAGTGCTGTTGACTGGTACCAACGCTGCTTCCCAGTCACAGCAGGCTGTGACGTCCGATGCCCACAGGGCATCCCATGGCAAGATGCTGGCACTGCTGGATCTGGGGGCCTGCAGCGCTGCCTGGGAGGTAATTTGGGGTGGGCATGTCTGTGCTCCCACCACCATGGGCTTGCCTAGAGACTGGAGGGGCTGTTGGCAGCCAAGAGGTGATGCAGGAGGAGCAGAAGGATCACTTGCATTTTCACAAACCTTCTGACAGCTCGTGGTTGTTTCTATAAAGCGTTCAACTTTCTATTGCAGCAGGACTTGTGGCAGGCTGGGATGTCTTCGTCAGCAATCACTGAAATGCCCTTTCTGATTTGTCCAAGCAGCACAATGCAAGCACGAGGCAGACCCCACACAGTAGGTCATGGTTTGAGGCCTGCTCTCCTGACAGCTTTATCAGCCCAGCTTGTGCAGTGGGGCCTGAGGCTCCTGCCAGTCAGTAGACCTGCCCGTTGTGATGGGGACCTGCCTGGGCTCCATAGCCTGGGTTGGAGCTGTAGGTGCAGACGGCAGATGGGGTAGGGAGGAGCTTTGGACTGCTTGGCTGGTGTGCAGTGGTGGAAATCATGAGCCAGTTTCAGCACTCCCTACTCCACACTGGTTTGCTGGGAATTGCTGATGCACACAACGAGAGGGACCCATGTCCCCATGCCTCGCCATTGTGGCTCAACTCCCTCAGGCACAGGCTATCAGGGACAGAGCTGCTCCAGGCGCTCAGCACCACTCTCAGCCCAGTCCTGTGGGAAAGACGGGGAACCCCTCTCCAGTGGGGCAGGTGACATCACCTGCTCTTGGGCAGCACCAGAATTGCTGTCTCCAGACCTGTTGCTCATCGGGTGGTCTGCCTGGAAGCGGGCAGCCCCTGTGAGACTCAGTGGTACAAGCTGTGGCTGGGAAGGAGTGGTTCACCCTCCTGCTGTGCAAGGATGCTGAAGATTTGCTTTCCGTCTGGTATCTGCCCTTGGCTGCTGTTCAGCACAGAAGCAGAAGGAGATTCAGGCTCTTGGGGGTCTGTGAGCTTTGTAGCTAATCCAGTAAATTGTTCCAGCTGATCCCCAGCTTGCAAGATCTGAGGAATGCAAAGGCTGGGACTGATCCTGTTGCTCAACCTGTGGGCTCAGAGGCAGCATCTCTATAGATGCTGATTTTCTCCTGGCCCAGAATATGTTCCCTTTAATTGCTTGGGTGCACTTTGGTGGCTTGTCCATGTGACAGGATGGCTTCTCTCTCCCCTGGCCCAGGTCGCTGGAGCAGACCAGCAACGAGGGCCAGGGCAGAGCGCTGGAGGTGGCCACGTGCGGGTAGAGATGCTGGTGCAGCCTGCCCGGCTGATGCCAGGCATGCTGGCAGCCCCATTCGTGGGTAACTGCACAGGCAGCAGGGGTCTTTTCTCCTCTGCAGCCTGTTTCATTTAATGTTTCCATCTAATCCAAATCAGAAATCCCAGAGTACAGAGTGCCCTGAGCCTAGACCACCCTGAACGGGCTCCAGTCCTCAGCCCTTAGGATGCAAATATTTACATTCTCTCCTGCAGCTCTGGGGTATCTGAAGAGCCAGGTGGCACTGGGGGACTGCAGGGCCAGGGCATTGCTGCTGGAGGCACTGGCACCTCAGCACCAGGGAAGTGGCTTATGAAAGAACTGGCACCCTGGCCCAGGGCAGCTGTGGGCGCAGGGTGCTGGGGTGAGCACTGCCACCGTCCCTGCAGGCACACTGATACCCGGTGCCTCCCTGGCCACTCACCAGCTGCCCCACAGCTTCTCTCCGAGGAAGTGCCAGCTCCAGGCTGATGGGACAGGCCTGGCAGGGGCTTAGCCCTGCGCCTTGTCCCATGGGACAGCCACCAAACACCTGCCCACCAAACACGCAGCTGGGCTTGGTCTGGTGCTGAAGTGCCTTTTTTAGGCTGGGGATGTCCGCAGCTTCCCTCTGGTCATGGCCGAGCCGTGTGTTAAAAGGAGGAGTTAATCAGGTGGTTGTGTGTGAAAACTTTGCCATCTCCTGTGAAGGCCATGGGGTTTGCTGTCCAGCTGCGGGGCTGGAGGAGCAGCCCAGACTGCCCGTTCTGCCGGTGCCCGGGTGCCCGGCGGCGGCGGGCTCTCAGCAGTACCACGAGGGATTGGTGCTGGCTGTGGCCTCAGCTGCTCTCTGGTGGCCTCCTGATCCCAGGCAGAGAGGAGAGGGTGTGGTGGGCTGGCTGAGTGTGCAGGCAGGGCCGGACACTGCCTGTGCCGGGGCGCTTGGGGTGGGAACTAACTGACAGAGCAGCTGAAGTAGAGCCCACCATGCTGCTTTCCCCGTCCTTGTTGCACACAGCTGTGCTTCTGCCCAGCCCTTTGTGCATCCCTTACTCTCTCCCCCTCTGGCAGCTGCTGCAAGGGGTGTTTCTGGTCCCCATCACAAATCATCACCCGCAGCTCCCTTCCTCGGGCTGTCCCCTGCCAGACCTGCTAGCCTGGGCTGCTCTCGAGGAGCCAGGGTGGCTGCTCATGAACCTGGGCACCTTGTCAGACACTCCTGCTGCTGCTTGAGCAGAGTTGGGCCTTTTCATGCTGTTTTCTGGTTGGGCCAGCCATAGCGGAGCACACCAGGGAGGCAACTGAATTCCTTTCAGTGTTCAGTGCTGGAAAGTTCACAGAAAGTGAAAGAAGAGCTGGAGCAGGAAGAGCAGCTCTGCTCTCCTGGGCTGGAGGGAGCCCCGGCGCCCAGCAACTCCTGAGGGCCTGCTTCTTGTTGCCAGAGGCTGCACGGCATCCTTAATTCCCTCTCCCTGCCCTGCTGGGACAATCCCTGGCTCTGGGCAATGTGCAGGAGGTGGCCTTGGATGCCTGGATCACTCTGGGTCTCAGCAGAGCAGGGTGTGGAGCGTGCAGTCAAAGGCAGGACTGTGCTTGGGGGCACAGCAGAAGGGCCAGCCGCCTCTGCTCTGGACCTGCATGGGCTGGTGGGGCTCTGAAAGGCCTCTCTAACCTGTCGGCCTCCATTGGGCAGGGAAGGGGGGTCCTCCCGTTTGAGCTGCTTCTGCATGTGGTGGCCATTAGCTATAGTCCTCTGTGTGTCGAGGGACGTTGCTTGCACTGCGCCCATGTGATTAGAGCCTCTCTGGGGCTGCAGTTCCCCCTAGAGTGCCTGCTATTTTTATATGTGGCATTTGCTTCACACACCACCTTTCTGTTCTCTCTGCAGCCGCCAAGCTTAAAAGCGCTGAGCCGCTCCCCAATGTCGGATGCCTGGGAGTGCAAGGCGCAGGACCCCTTTGCCAGCAGCGAGGAGCAGGACGAGGTGCCCTACCAGGTGACAGTGACGGACACGGACACAGGTGGCCAGTGCCAGTGCCCAGAAGAGGAGCCCAATGGGGTTCCCCAGAAGCGGACGAGCACCCAAAACGGGATGCAGGACAGTGGGGGTGGGGGCACGGGAGTGAAGAAGAAACGGAAGAAAAAGGATCTGGGAGAGCAGGAAGGTGGAGAAAAAGCAGCTGTGGAGGTGAAACCAAAGAGGCGGAGAGAGCCTAAAGAACCAAAAGAGCCTAAAAAGGCTAAGGAGCCCAAGAAGCCGAAGGAGCCCAAGCAGAGAGAGGTGGCCAAGAAGCCCCGGAAACCTCGGGAACCCAAAGCTCCCAAGGAGCCTAAAGACAAGAAGAGCAACTCTGAGCCTGCCCCCAGAACAAGACCCAAGAAGAGCAGGTGGGTGGTGGTGTGACCTTGTCTCTGTGTCCAGTCTGGACAAGGCTGTGGGCTCGCAGGAGCTTTGGGCCAAGAGGGCCGCACTGGGCCACTACGTTGCAGTGGGGGTGGGCTCCTCATGCTGAAAGCTGGACGTACTGGTTGGGAGGCCAGGACGAGCTCTCCGGCCACGCAGAGGCAGGACAGGTGGGTGCCCTTTTGGGGATGAGGCCCTGTGAGACCCCAGATGTAGAAGAGGACCAATGGGTCTTGGCCTGTCCTTGGCCTGGCGTTTGTGCTGAGTGTCCTGGGCGCCAGAGGGACCTTAGGGAGGTATCTCACCAGGACAGTGAGGTGCTGTGTGGCAGAAGGCCTGTCATACCTGTTTTGAGGCCTGGGCAGAGGGTACGTGAGTGAGATGAACCTGACCTTGGGCTCTCAGTGCAAGTGAGGGTCTCTGCATGTCTGGGGGCCGACAGCCTGCCTTCCCTCGGCTCAGGTTTGGGAGGATGGTGGAGCACATACCCTGTCATCTCCCTCTCCTGGGCAGCAGGACCTGTCCCTCCCTTGCAGCTGTGGAGCTGTACAGGCAGCCAAGGCCGGCAGTGAGGGGAGGCCTGAGGACTCCCTTGTACTGCACAGGCCAATACCATCGCCTCTGGTAATTCCTCATCCTTTTAATTAACAGGCTGATTAACCAGAAGCTCTGATTTCTTAGCTCTGATTTCTTTTTAACTGGGAATATGTGCAGATAGCAGAGCAGGTCTCAGCAGCACCAGCGTCATTTGGTTTACTGTCATGAACTGATGAGAATGTGTTTTTTGGAGAATCCTGTACAAAGCAGGCCTGTCAATTGGAGCAGCAGTGGAAATAATCCATAGGATACATATATTTCTACTGTAAACAGTGTTAGTACAGGACCCAACTGGGAATTCTTCAGCAAAACCTTTCTTTGTTAGAAAACACCAGTTTGGTAGAGCTTCTCAAGGGCACTTTCCTGGAAATGGTCACCAGAATGGGTGTCCCAGGGTCTGTGGGGTCTTCCCACCTCTCTCCCACCGTGACTGCCCACAGGACGCGTGTGCAGGGTAAGGACCAAGCCCCAAGTCTTCCACAGCCCTACTCCTTTGGAGCTTGCTGACAGGCGGATCCTGGAGAGACCGGAGCTGTGGAGCTGGCCATGGCTGGTGGTGAACAGAAGAAGGTGTGGGGCAGCAAAGCCCCCACACCAGGCTGGCGGGGAGCTCAGCAGGGCAAGAGCTGGGCGCCTTGTCCCCAGCAGGTACCTGAGATGTGCAGTGCTGTCAGTTCTGGTCTTCCTCATGCCTAGGGCTCTGTGCACGAGGAAGCCAAGCCCTTTTGTCATCATGGGCTGGTGAGCTGGAGCAGATGGGGATGGACAGATCAAGCAGACAGTGCCAGGAGGGTGAGAGAAGGGCTCCTCAAGGCCCCGAGGAAGGTTGCAGTGGAGGGACTGGAGGTGGAGAGGGAAGGAGAGCAGCTGCAGGCAAAGAAGGGAAGGATGACGCCCATGTAAAGGCAGCATTGGGCACCGAGGAGAATCCTGGGATGAGGGATGCAGCTAGCAGCTTTTCCTAATGACATCCCTGCTCCACCAGGAAGAAACTACCATATGGGCAATTCACAGAGGTCCACCCCTGTGGTGGGACCTTGGGGACCAGACCAAAGCAGAGGAAACCTGGGGGAGAGCGGTCCGTGGAGGCTTGGGCTCCTGGAGGCACTCATGGCTCTTGTCCAGGAGCTTGTGGCCACTGTGGCAGGTCCCTTGGCTGCCAGCAGCCCATGACAGTGCAACCTGCTGTGGGTGGCTGGTGGGCAGGTCACTCTGCTAGACATGGGGATTGTGGCGGAGTAACCCCAGCTGCGGAGCTGGAGACCCTGGTCCCTCCTGCAAAGGCATGGCGGGGTCTGGGGGTACCAGGAGAGGGGCTGAAGGGGGATCTGCTTATGGTGCTGGGGGCCAACGTGCAGAGCCCTGATGAAGGAGTCACTTCATGCAAAAAAGACCAACTAATACAACTCTGTAACACATCACGCAGCCGAAAGAAACCATGCGTGGGAGTCTGGGAGTGCCACAAAGCTCTCTGCTTTCCTGATGCCCTGTCCCAGTGGAGCCTGAGCCTGTGGTGCTTCCTCCCGCTCACATGCACCTTCCAGGAGGACCTAGATCCACCCCTGCTGCTTGGAAAGTCCAGCCCATGGGTCTTCCTTGCAGCTTTCCACCCTCCGCAGCCCCTCCTTGAGCCTCCTCTTGGACTGTTGCCTTGGCCTCTGGGTCAGCCACCAGCAAACCCACCCGTGGGAGGAATGGAGGCACCCATGGGTGTCAAGGTGGAAGCTCTGCAGGGAACAGGGCTGTGTGTGTCCCTGTGCCTACTGCCCAGGATGGAGACAGGGAGGTGGGCTGGAGGCCCCTGGCAGCACAGGGAGGGAGAGACGAGCGGCAGGCAGGGTAAGCACTCCGTGCGGATGAAATGATTGCTGGGAGTCCTCTAAGTGGCAGATAATGGTGGCATAATTTCTTCTAAATTATTTCTAATCATAGCCAACTACTGGTTCATGAATGAAGCAGTTGTTAACTGTGACTTACAAATCAATACCTTGGGAGTTATTGCTCGGGTGGAAGCGGTGCTCACAGTGCATTTTCAGGGCCTCTAATTGAAGTGCGGGTGCACGGGCAGGGCATTTTCGGCCTGAACAGCAGATTTTTAACTGCTTGTTTTTTGCCAGTCCCAGGCAAGCAGTGATTTTTCTCATGAAACGGGAGTAAAACATCAACATGGCTTTGGAACTAATTGTTCCTCTGCCTCTGTGCAGGTCTGGGATGTGGAAGGGATGGATGGCGGGGCTCTGAGTGAGGAAGGGGACGTCGCTTAGCCCAGGGACAGGCACCAGCTCTTTGAAATCTTTCCCTCAGCAGTGTTCCTTGCAGAGTGTAAGGATGGATGGGCACGTCGGGAATGTTTGTTTCTTACCCTGGTGCTTCCTGAGCACGTTTCCTTGAGCAGGCAGGTTGTTGTGCCGGGGGCGGGGGCGGGTGGCCCTGACCCTGAGAGTGTGCTGCAGGGCTGGGCTGCGTCTTGTGTTTGCAGGAAGGTGGTGGGAATCACCAGGAGCAGGACTCAAATCCCCTCCGTGACTTGAGCACGGAGGACAGTTGCCTGGTGGGACAAAGCCTCCCGGCAGGCCCTTGGAGGCAGCAGTGACCGCCATGGTGGGCCGTTGCACCGGTGGGAGTCTGGGACCTGCATCCTCCCCATGTTCGTGGCAATTACAGGGCGTAACTCCCTCCGGCTGAAGGCACAGGCCAGTATCTGCTCAGCCGCCGTCTTGGGAGGGGACTCAGTGCTGTGGCTTAGGGAAGACAAACCACAAGCTAGAGCAGCTTCTGCCTCCACGCTGGTGTAAAGGTTTACCGGGGTCTGGCAGGACTCTGCGGCACACGGGGAAGTTGGCCGGCAGGATGGCCGACGCTTCTCAGACTGGGCTAGAAGGTTTGTCTCTGGGGTGCCAGGACATGGGTTGCCCATGGAGCTGCTGAACTTTCGTCGGCACAAGACATGTTTGTGAGTGCTCTGCTCGGAGCAGGCACCTCGTTGCCCTGGCCTGCTGGGGTTGGCAGTGGGGAGATCCTCCTTGTGCCTGCGCTGGATGTAGGTCCCTGTCTTGGTCTCCCAGTGGGGGCAGAGGCTGCCACGCACTCGTGCAGGTCCTCCTTTCACTGTAGAGACTTCATGGTCTGAGGAAGGGGGTCACCCTGCCTGGAGGGGAAAGGCTGGCCTGGTTCCTCCTGGCTCATCACCACGCCTGAGCCGCTATCCAGAGCATCCTGACCTCATGCATCCGGGCTCCTCATGATGAAGGAGCAGTGAGGGCTGGCCATGAGCTGAACCCCATCTCCTACAGCCCCTGTGGGGCTGTTCCCCTGGCTGGTGGAAGCCTCCAACCCCTTTCTGCCCCACAGCAGGCCGAGGCAGGGGGACCCCCTCATCCCAGTGTACTGGAATTGGATGGAGAAACACTTGATGGTGATTAATGAGCACCACCAACTGGGCATCCCCAATGCTGGAGGAGACTGCAGGAGCCTTGAGGTGCCTCTAGGTGATCCAGTGGGAACAGAGCCCTGTGTGGGTGTCTGCTGGCTCTCGCCTGGGATCCCTAGGACAAGATCTAACCATCAGTCTGTCTTGGCAGCAAGGACACCCCGGTGGAGAAGAAGAAGAAAGGGAAGAGGAAAAATGAGATACCAGTGGACAGTTTGGATTTGGATCAGGATCTCCTGAGCCCATCCGTGCAGAGCCCAGAGGAGTCTGCAGAGTCAGCCGACAGCCAGGTATGTCTGAAGCCCTCGGCTGGCTGCTAGTGGGGAAATCCTGGCTGCCTTTGACTGGGAGAAGAGCTGGGCCCCGGTGCGCAGCGATCAGAGAGCGCTTTCAGCAGTGTGGCTGGTAGACCCCAGCCCTGGAGCCGAGGTCTGTCATCCACACTGCTTAAAGTCAGCTGGCGGCCCTGGGTTGGGTGCATGCTGCTGCTCTGGGCACTGCCCGTCCCTCAACCTTGAGTGTCCCTCTCCCCCATGGCTCCTGACAACTCCCCTTTCCTGGCACAGTACGGGGAGGCAGGTTGGGCTCGCAGGGCTGGAGAGCTGCTCGTGCCTCTGCAGGATCCTCTCCTTCAGGTCTTGGGTACTGATGGGGCTGTGTGGGTCAGGCGTTGATGGAGACCTCGGCACCGCAGTGGTGGGTTTACCTCCAAGGGCTGCCTGTTCTTCCCATCGCCTCCATCCCACTGGGTCGGGGGTGGGCTGGAGATCAGGCAGCCCTGGGGCTTTCTCTCCTCTGTTCAAGCAAGGAGGAGGTACTTGGTCTGCCCATCTCCCCCGTGACTGCTTTTTTCATCCCATACACAGAAACGCCGCTCAGGACGGCAAGTGAAGAGGAGGAAGTACAACGAGGACCTAGATTTCAAGGTGGTGGATGATGATGGCGAGACAATAGCCGTGCTGGGAGCTGGGCGAACCTCCGCGCTCTCTGCCTCTACTCTGGCATGGCAGGCAGAGGTAGGGCTGGATGTGGGACTGGGGTGATCGGGCCTCCTGCCTCCCACAGGGTGTCCCAAGGGTGTCAGTGCTGAGATTTGAGGAAGTGGGGCATCCCAGCAAAAGGAAGAGGTGAGAGTGTGCCTATCTGGGAGGGTGCAGGCTGGCAGTGCAGGGACTGTGAGTGCAGAAAGACATGGGCAAGAGACGTGCAGGTCCAGCTTTTCTCCTCCTGTTTGGAGACTGAGGCCCCAGTAACATGTCGTGTAGCTGGACATGTCCCTGAAGGCATGACCTACCCACTGCCCATGCCCACCTTTGCCTCCTGTCTCTGTAGCTCCTGTCCGTGAGGTTAGTCTATTATTTTGGCTCTGCCAGCCAAGGGCTTTGTAGGTGCCAGAACATCATTTTCTGCCCACATTGCTGCTCTCCATCAGTGCCTCGGAGTGTAGAGATACCCAGCCTGACACCTGCCAGCCAAGCTGATCTGCTGGGCAGCACAGTAGGGACCTAGGCAGCGTGGCAGGGATGATCTGGTGTCATTGCAGTTTGGGCCTTGCTGCCCTGCCTCCTCTGCCCACTGGTTCAGCACTGGCTCCTGGTGGATGCTGACAGCTTGTTCCTGCTGGTCTGTATGTTGGATCCTGCAGCTCATTCCCTCTCTCTGGTTGCTAACAAAGCTGCCAGATATTAATAATGGTCAGTAGTTGTTTTTGTAGTGTCCCGTGTCCCCCTCTAGTCCCCTCTTCACAAGGCTTTGGTGTGAGTATTAGTCAGCTCTGTTGTTAAGCCAGTAAATAAGACCTGGCCTGATGTTCCCTGCCTCACCCGGAGGCTGCTGCACACCCACGGGAGTTGCTGCCCGTGCTGCTTCAGCAGCTGCCTGGGGCCATGTCCCAGCTGGGCTCCTGGCAGTGACCTCCAACTGAGATTTTCAAAACAGCTGGTGGGAATAGGTTGCCTTTGACACGTGTCCATGCTGCCACCCTGCTCTTCTCTTAGTCTTGGACTTCCACCTCAATTTGTCCTGCTCCAGATGAATTACTGAGGCTGGTGTCTGACGGCAGCAAGGCTTTCTGCAGAGTGGCTGCTCTGGGCTCCTGCCAGCAGGCTTGGCCGGACCTGGCCATGGCTGGCCCCAGGGTCAGAACTGACCTGACAGGGCAAGATGGGAGTGCTGCGGCCTCAGGGCTGCTCTCCTCATTGCCTGGACTTGCAGCTTTCCACCTGAATCCTGGACACGT